TATGCACACGGATATCCATGCCACGTTTATCCATATTCCTATTGTACACGTGGCACCAAAGGACATGGATAAACGTGGCATGGTGCAATGGGTACATGTGGCAGGGGAGATGTGATAGGACAAATGTGGCATGGGAGGATATGGATACACGTAGCATGGAACGATATGGATAAGCATGGCATGGTACAATTATGGGTATAGATATCCATATCATGTGGCATGGGAGGATATGGACACGAATATCCATGCCACGTTTATCCATAACCTCCCATGCCACGGGCTATAGTACACGTGGCAACAAAGGATATGGATAGACGTGGCATGGTGAGAGAACGAGTGTATGTGTTGATGGAGGGCGTGACATGACGGGCGGAGGGGGGCGGGGCGTGGCAGGCTAGATGGGACACGTGGCATGGAGGCTGCACAGGTGGCATGGGAATATTGTGCACGTGGAGGTTTCTAAGTTGATGAGAGTGGAGGCAGTGACGATTTGAAAGGTGATCAGATATAGATGCTGAGTGAAGAGATATCATGAGCCTCCATCCGCTACTCAACATTCTACATGCATTTAGACGATATCCGGACCAGGTGCATACGGACGGGCTCAACATTTTAAATGTACCCCGACGGCTATGAGGTCCGGATACGTAGTGTTGCATAGTGGAGCGAGCTGCCGTGTGTCCTTTTTTTTTAATCTTTTGCAATGGTTTATTACCCATTCAAATTTCCGTCTGGCAAAAAAAAGAAAAGGAAATGATGCTCCCCCTTGTGTGTGCTTGTAGAGGGTGTCGTCGTTTTTTTGTTAGTATATAACTACGCTATATTCTTCTCTCAAATCTTTCATCATGTTTCAAATTCTTTCAATTCACCTTCACTACCTACCCTTCCCTTCGTTTATTTTTCTTCTTTATCTTGAGATATCATCGTTGAACTGACCGGCCCCCAGGTAATTTAGAATGATTGTATTTTGGTCATCTGGTGGTATCTGGATTCGAACTCTTGTCTCAATGTCAGCAGTTCATGGGTGTACCAACTGAGCAAGTCCGTTTATGTCACAGAAGAATTTCAAATGGGGAAAAAAAACACGAACGGGCAAAAACAATGGCCGCCGGACTTGAAAGGGCGATGAAAGTACTGTGGGCCGTGGTCCAGGCTGGGTGTCGTAACTACAGGGGTCGGCCGAAGTCGAAAGGGCGATGAAAGTACTGTGCGCCATGGTCCAGGCCGGGTGTCATAACTACAGGGGTCGACCGTGCTGTCAGATGGGACGGAAAACCAAATAGGAAAGGCCCAACAATGGCACATTGCACTTTTATTGCGCTTTCGAGTTTGGCGGGACATTGTTTTTGCCCCTGCAGTTTTTTTTTGCCTTTAGGGTTTCAAACCGTGCCACTGCCGCACTTGTTTCTGTAAGAAAAAATAGTGGGTGAGAGCCCCACATTCAGGGTCCCATTTCATACATCGGTGGGCATGGGATCGGTATGGGTCGTCTCTATGCGTTTGTCATTTGCGAGGTGTTGTGAGCCTTTTTTTTTCTTTTTTTGCCCAGGTTGTTGTAGAGGCTGGATTACAGACATAGTCCTATGGTGGAGCAAAGGAGGGCACATTATTTGTTGTGTTGGGGTGAAGGTGAGGTGAAGCTTCTGAATCTCGGTTGGGATATCAGAAGGTAAGGTGAAATGTCCGCTGAATCGTCACTGTAGGTGGATGTAGGTGAATATGCAGACTGTGTCTTTTTTTGGGGGTAACTAGGGCACAGGCAGGATTTCAGTTTTAAATGCAGTTCAGGCATCTCCCGAATACAACACAACCCCAGCGGACCATGAAGCTAGGTTGTATACATTCATGATTTTCCTCTGTTTGACACAACGTTCGCGAAATAGTGACTGAGGACCTCGCCGCACCACTCTTGAAACAGGGAAATGTTTCAAGAGCTGTCAGACGATTTCAAGAGTTGCATTTTCGAGAGTTTTCGGCCCATCGCCACACAGCACTCTTGAAACAGCGACAATGCTGGACAAAGGATGCAAAGAGACAGCCGTACAGCTTTGTTTTTTTTGAATGGCATCAGGATAACGGCCCTACAGCTCTTGAAAATCAACAGTTCCTCAAGGGTTTGGCCAAGGATGCTGGAAAACGCACGCGTTGCAGGCTGGGGTTTCCAATCTTTCAAGAGCTGCTCTTGAAAGGGTTTCAACAGGCTGTGTGGCGATGCAGCACCTCTTGAAAAAGAGTTTTCAAGAGCGGTGCGGCGAGGCCCTGAAACACATTTTCAAACTAAGACCATGATAGCACCCTAGTTTCCCCCTTTTTTTTGTTTTTTGTTGCTTGGGTTCTTAACAATTACAAAGTGTGTGTACCTATCAACGATCTAGATCGACTTGGAATGAGAACAGGTGCAGATTGGATGGAGTAACATCGAGAGAAAAAAGAGAGACAGGGCGAATTGCCTTATCGAAAGCAACACATATCGTTGGTGAGATATTTGACGTTTGGGACGTTAGTTTGCCCGGGCATTGTGGTTCGCTGAGATGTTCCGAGGGGTGGCGGAGGGGTAGTGGAGCGCTTGTGCAGACATAGTAAAGACAAGATCTTGTTCGTGAGATGCAGGTATCTCGCGTCCAGATGGGATGAATGCCTTCCCCCCCTCCCTGCCACACTAGTCCATCGGTGGCCTTTGTTGCATTTTGGCCTCCGAAAGGGGGCCGAGGCGGATGTACAGTGGTGTACTACTCTGGTTTAAGCCCAACCAATTCAAGTTACAAGTACCTGTCAAATCTGGAGGGAACGGCCTTTCAGGTCTTCTGTTTTATTTACCATCGTAGTATTACGGATAACCCCAAAGCGGCCGGCCCGAGGGGACATGACGGGGCTGTGCCTGACCTGTCGGTGGGCGATACCGGTCAAGGGTCAGCCAATAGCAGCATCAGGGCCTAGCTTCGTCTATGGGCCAGTCGCTGTGTCTCCCCTCCGGTCCCTTCCCCCCTACGAACATCAGCAGACCTGCAGGTGGGCGATGTCCGTCAGGGGTCAGCCAATAGCAGCAGCAGGGCCTAGCTTCGTCTATGGGCCAGCCGTTGTGCCTCCCCTCCGGTCCCTTTCCCCTACGAACATCAGCAGTCACTGCTCAATGCTGCTCGGGGGGACCAATGGGCTATCACTTGGTAGCGGGCGCCAAGCATGCCCAAGAAGGTACATGAGGCCAATGGGGATTGAACCCAAGACCTCCTGAATGCCACTTGCGTGCCTTACCAACTGAGCTGGGCCACTGGATAACCAAGGTTCATTACTGGCGCCCCTACGTCGGGCACTAAGGTAGGACCGTGTTATAATGTGAAGGGCCACTGGATAACCAAAGTTCATAACTGGCCCCACTACGTCGGGCACTAGGTAGGACCGTGATATAATGTGAAGATCGTTGTTCGGAAAACTCAGAGAAGAATGGCCTTCCATTGCTTTGCGTGGCCGTTCACGGCGGGTGCCCGCGTCCCAACCCACCATGACCTTGGCCGTCACCCTGTGTGGAGACGTGGGGAGGGGTGATTCCACTCCTCCCATCTTCTTTCCTCTTCCTGACGTAGTGGCGAAGAGTTAGGAAGAGGAAAGCGAATATATGACAACACACACACACACACACACACACACACATCATCATCATCATCACACACATACAGGGGGGCCTTTCTCGCTTCCACCCCTTGCCCGCCTTCTTCTCTCCCTTAGTGGAAGAAGTAAGATGGTTTGTGAACTACCACGTTATTGACGGAAGACCAGGAGGGAGGAAAGCGAAGACATGATGAAAGAGAAAGGAGTTTTTTGCTGCAGTATGGCTGGTGGAGGGGAAGTGGGGAAAACGAGGAGAAGAGGGATGAGTGGCTGAGCAGCAGCAGGTAGGAGGCACCAGGCACGGGCAGCAGGCAGCAGAAGAGGCAGAGGCAGGCGGCGGCAGCTGGAGCAACTAAAGCAGGAAGAAACAGCACCTGTGGCATCAGAAGCGGGCAAGGGGTGGAAGCGAGAAAGGCCCCCCTGTATGTGTGTGATGATGATGATGATGTGTGTGTGTGTGTGTGTGTGTGTGTGTGTGTGTGTGTGTGTGTGTGTGTGTGTGTGTGTGTCATATATTCGCTATACACTAAAAAAAAGCATGACTGTACCGAACAGACTGTTTCGTCGGACTTTCACCGACTCATCAGGAGGTTGAACCGCGACAGTCTACCCAGGATTCATTTGACTGATTTGTGTGTGTGTGTGTGACACAGAGAGAGCGAG